ATATTGCAGCGCATTCTTCCAACGTATCAAATAAAGGTGGGAGGAAAAATGTAGATTTGATCCTCGATTGCTCAATTTCTCGCGGCACTTTTTACCGCAAAAATGCGAGAAATCCGAGATTGAAAAGCGACAAAGCCGCGTCCCGTCGTATTTGGATTAGTGGACAAAGAACAAGGCTCGCGTTTCCATTCGTTGAGACGCGGAATTCGCGTATACACGCGACATCGCGGTCTGGAGGATTCGTGAAAAGGGAGAGTCAAACATACGTGCACACACGCGGAAGAGAGAAGGTATATAGTTTCGACGTTGCGGTTTGAAGGCGTGCGCGCGTTCACGACGGGCGCTCGAGATAAATGAAATTCATAAGACGAGGGTATATCCTTGAGACGCCGGGACTCTGCCGTGCCGGGCGGACGATAGTTTCGCTCAAGACGAAGCGAGAGAGCGTGGGGGCTCGTGCAACAAGTGACGTTATTAGGTTGGCGCCGGAGGGTTGTAAGGGAGAGAACGGAGCGAATCATAATGCATAACTCTTGCCCGTCCTTGTCTTACCGTGCGCGCGTACGGCCATTCAACTTCTGCGGAGAGAACTGCTCGTGCCAGCTTAAACCGAATTACTCTCCGAAGACCGGAAATTAGAAGATACTCGAACAAGTTTACGCCAGTGATTTTTTTTCTAACACCAGGCCAGGAAGAGAGTTTTACTTTGATTCCAGTGTAAATGTATTTTAAATTGAAATACCGAAATGTGGAAATTAGGTGTTAAAGCTTTGTTGAGGCCCCTGTTCATTTGTTCTAACTTTGTTAGGGTCCTAATGTGGAAGCCCAATAAGAACCCTTGAAAGGTCGATCACGCTTTACCATCGAGGGCCCTTAAAGGTTAAGTAATCAGGGTCTTGATAGTTGCCTTATGAAATTCTTTATATTACCCTAAAATGGACCTATAATTTCTAGGAATGTACCCGCTTTTTTGGGATGTGTGTGTGTAAAATTAATAGAGAAATAAATGGAATTTAATTTATTTGTCAATATATGTATTATATATAATATATGACTCGATAAAATTGCAAACTTATTATTGTTATTGCCTGCTTATTCTGCCGTTTATTTTGCCGATGACTCACGCATTTTGCGTCCTTTATCCCAGTCTTTTGCATTGTTTAAACACATTGCTCTGATAATATATCTTTTCAGTTACAGTTTCTTCGGCTAAATAAATCTTTCCAAAGATATATCTAAAGAAATATATATCTATCTGATACATTTATATATATCATCAAATAGATATATAAGTCTTACGCAATTAGGGATTTTCACATTACTGCCAGATTAGGTCCCAGTAGGGCGATATCAGTTTTGAGTAGCTAATTTAATGTACGGTCTAATCGAGGAATAAAGGTACTGATAGGGCCTGATCAAGGTAATTATTTTATAACTTAGTCAAGTTTTGATAGAAAAAGAAATCATCAGCGTGTAAATAATAAGTTAAAAATATCGTAATTAATTGTAATAACTGCTATCTTCATCAAGTCTTAACAAGACCCTTATTGGTTTCCTTATTCAAGCCATACATTAAATTAGCTATTCAAAACTGATATTACCTTACTAGAACCTCCACGTTTAAGCCCTTCAAGGCTCCGAAATTTGTTAAGATTGCTCTAACAATTTTCCGCATAGCATTCGAGTGTAAATGTATTTTAAATTGAAATATCGAAAATTGGAAACTTCAAAGGGCGAAAACCATTCGACTCTATAAGCAATCTCTGATTTCGATAAAAATTGAAAATCGGAGAGACAAATGGTAGAGCGCCCCATTCTCTCCTTTCTCCCTGGGGTTTCGATAAGACATTCCACAATCCTCACAGTCGCGTTCTCACATATCCCCTATCTTGATCTCCTTGACAAGCTCATGTTATGATATCGACGGTGGTGAACTTCAAAAGCTCGTTTGCGCCCGGATCGGTGCCAAGTTACGTCGAGCTCATTCGTCCTTGTCGCCCGATACGATAATCGAGCGAGGCCGCGAAGACGTGCCCTGTCCTAGAAAACTAAATTTCCATTCTCTCGTTTCTCACGAAGTCTGGCGCGAACCGCGAAAAGAGACCGTCGCCTACGGCCGTGGAAGACAAAGGGGGCTTTATTATGCGAGGAGAGCGATGGAAATTGAGAACGGCGAGGACGGAGATTGGCAGGGATGCCGAGTGGTTCCCCTTTGGCGTCTCGAACGGCAAAGACGACTACCTTATATCCGCGGAACTCGGATTATTACCGCTCAAGACGGTTATTCCCTAGCACAGAAAAACAGTATCCTTGAAAGAATGCAAGTATGCCTTGATTCAAGTATATTTTATCCTTACAATAGCGCCAAATATAAATAATTTTGGATAAAGGATAATTTATCCTTAAAACAAAGTGCAAAATATTCTTGGTTGAAGCTGAAATTTACTTATAAATATTGCAAGGACAAGCGACAAGTACTTTCAAGTATATATAATAATTCTTAGTTCAAATGTGACTAAGTTTGTTTTTACCATATGCGATTTTTAAAACAAGAATATACCTTAAGGATAAAATATACTTCACACAAACTTATTTATTATTAAGGCAAATGAAAAATGTGTGATTGCAAAGAGCATTTTATGCTTAAATCAATCAAACAGCGTTCAAGAATAAAAATATACTTGAATCAAGGATTCCTTTTTTTCTGTGTACAAAACATCACAGAAAAAACAGTATCCTTGAAAGAATGCAAATATGCCTTGATTCAAGTATATTTTATCCTTACAATAGCGCCAAATATAAATAATTTTGGATAAAGGATAATTTATCCTTAAAACAAAGTGCAAAATATTCTTGGTTGAAGCTGAAATTTACTTATAAATATTGCAAGAACAAATGAGCATCGGAAATAAGCGGTACTTTCAAGTATATATAATAATTCTTAGTTCAAATGCGACTAAGTTTGTTTTTACCATATGCGATTTTTAAAACAAGAATATACACCTTAAGGATAAAATATACTTCACACAAACTTATTTATTATTAAGGCAAATGAAAAATTTGTGATTACAAAGAGCATTCTATGCTTAAATCAATCAAACAGCGTTCAAGAATAAAAATATACTTGAATCAAGGATTCCTTTTTTCTGTGCTTCCTCATCGTGCGTCTCTCTTTCTCTCTCTCTCTCTCTCTCTCTCTCTCTCTCTCCTTTCTTTCTCATGTAACACGTTAAAATGTATGTTAAATATGTATGTATATATCCGCCGCGATGCTTGACTTTTTATGAATCGAGATTAAGTATAATGCATTCGTTATACATTGAGTTGATTTTAACTTTTATTGTATAGTTTCTGAAGCTTTAATCTTGAAATGGGACACAGAATCAACTAAAGTGAGATTGAAGTTAATATTTGCTACTTAAGAAGTCGTGTTTTTCTTCCCTTCTACGCCTTTTCATACTTTTATAATACTTTTGAGTTTTAACTTTAGAGTTGAACGATAGTAGTGTGATTGAAGTATGTGCGAATCTAGAGAGACAGCTGTGGTGATAGTATATAAGACATTGCCTCATTGACATGTGTAAAGCTAAGTATCGTAAAAGTTGTCGATCTCGTCTCGTGAGCGCATAACGGAGAGGAGTCTTTAAAGCTGAAGAAAATTAAAAAAAAAATTTTAGTAATTTTACTACTGTCGAATCAACATCTTGAAAGTTACACTTGAAAAGGACTCGTACTTAAGGGTCGAAACGTAGTGTTTCTAATTAAATTGTTCTGGCCAGTTAGGTCAAAATTTCAATAAATTTGTATGGTTTTACTCATCCCTGTCGACTTCATTAATTTTATCGTTATTTAAAATTTTCAAGATCTACACCTCGCATGATCGAGAAGAGTATCCTATACACGGGTAACGCGTAAACGCAACAGCGAGAGAGGGTGAAGGAGGAAATGGCAAAGGGAAAAAAGAGAAGATAAGAGAGAAAGAACCTCTCCAATGGAACCGCCGTCGTGTCGTCAAGCGGTCGTCCTTTTTCCGCCTCGCGGTCCCCTCTGTCTCACGGCACTTGATTTCCGTCTTTCCCATTTTCCTCTTTCGCTCGGTGGTCCTCCGCACCCTCGTCTTCACCCCCGAGTCGGCCATTTTTGTTTGTGTTTCGCGGCGATCGTGGACCGGAAACGGATGTCCGCACCGTGAAAAATGGCCGCCGTTGCGCTTCCGGTATGGGAACATTTCTCTCTCTCTCTCTCTTCTCCCTGTCCCAAACTATATCCTACTGAATCCTACTTCCAAGCTTCGTGGACGAAACGCGTTTTATCCGACCTTCCCTTCTGCCGCGCGTTCTATCTTTCTGCCCTTTTACCATTGTCCTGTCCGACTTTGGCCATCGACCCGCGCTCGAACCATTTGACGCAACGCGCTACATGTGTTTCTGACGTCGCGCAAACCAAGCGTTTTATCATAGTTCCGTATACGCGCGCGCGCGTGCTCGTATTTATGCGCATGTGGATTTGTATGTATGAGAGCTGTCCAGTCGCGCATGTGATTATAGTAATTGTCTCTCGACACTTTTGCGCGACCTGCGCGCATTATCTGTGCACTGAGAGAGAGAGAGAGAGAGACAGGATAAACACTCCCTGTACGTTAACTTACCATAAACATGCAAAATCAAGGAATCCGCTTGAAATTTTATTATCCTGACTATTTTTCATTACACTCTCCGGATTACTACATAATTTTTTATGAAAAGACTATGATTTTCTCGTTACATATTTAAATTGAATGAAAAATAAAATTAAAGTTTTTCCCCGGATTAACTGCGTGAAAATAAAATCCCGCGTCTGCTTCGAAAGCGCGCACATAACATTAACGAATTAGAAGCTGTTTACTTTAATCTCTTTTTATATAGTTTTGCGCTTCAATTATTCGCTCGCGATCAATTACCGGATATACTCTGGATTAAGAGCTTATCTCTCTAATCTTCTCGCTGTATACTTTGTTTCAGGAGAGTTTCAAGAATGTGTTGAGCTGATTACATCTGAACTATACTAGGGTATTTGGGAATGGAGTCGACTTTACTGCTGCTCCTACTGATCGGTAAGTCTAACGTAACATAAAATTATGCATAAGAAATTATATGCGCAAGACATATCGCTCCTCGGTGCTGATTATTAACGGCCATTAACGTAAGAGTTTTAAATGGACTTTCAAGCAGAGACTATATCTGAAAGTTTCGGCAAAACTTTGGTGGAAAGTCACACTCATTATAAACTTCAGTCTTGCGATACTCCTCCTTTGCGACAATGAGTTATTCCGCAATGTTGAGGAAATATTTGTCAAGTGAGAAAACAGTTGGCACAAATTGTGTTATTAGAAAGTTTTTTTACTCCATTTCACTTAATTAAACTGTCACTCACATTATCGTATAAAAGAAGTAAAACTTGTCTACGAGAATGATATCGCGTGATTTATCGCGGATGTTTTTAAATTACGAATGGAAGCAAGCTCGTTTATTTAATGAGCGTTTGATGAATTGTTCGGTGAATCGTTCAATTGTGACAATACTGTTTCTTCGCTCAATAAAATGAAATATACACAAGAGAAATGCCTCTGCTCCATTATATATAATATACAATATATATATTACAGTCCAATGGAGCTTCGGATATCTTTTAAGAGTCGAACAAAGTTTTTCGGGGAGAGATACAATTTCATGCAAAGTAGGTCGATGAGACACAAAAACGACGTCAAGTTTTCGAACGCACTTGCATCTCCGCGCATTTTTACCAATATTCTCATACGACTCCCTTTTCACGAATGCGCGCGAGTGTACAACAAGAGAGGGAATAAAATTTCGCAGTCTCCGTCGAAGCGTGAACAGTTCGGGGAAAAGTGACTCCCCGATTTGACGCTTCGTAAACTTGCGGAATATAATCCCGGAGTCGGTCTCGGGAGTCGGTCGTTGAAGAGAAAGGCGAAAAACGGCGTCGCATCCGCGCACCACCATGCACGGTCGATGACCACGTGGAAGGATAGGAAAGCGAGGACGAATGCGCGGGAGCAGGGCAAAAAAAATATAGAGAGGTGGAAAAAAGAAAGGAGTACGTTTGGTTTGGCAGCGGGCGGTGGGCGTCGAACTCGGGACATCGCGCGCGGATGACGAGTAATCGATCACGAGCACTCTGCCAACACTACGTGGCGAAGAGCACATGGTGGTTCTCATCCGCCACCGGGATGGAAAACTCTACGCGCGCGTGTTGCGGCCGATTTCATCCCAATATCCTCGAAATTTGCGAAAGCGAGAGAAAAAGAGAGTAAAACAGAAAGAAGAGATGACGTAGAAAACGTTCTTCGAATCCCCATAGTGGGAAGGACTCCACCGCGCGATCGAGTGTTTTAAGTCTTTCCTCGGCACCTTCGCTTATATATTGCGATAATTTGAGACGCGTCGAGATCTACGTAAGGCACGTCGAGAATTAGTTTCGGGGGAAATTGGATATCTGGCCAGAAATCAACACTCTAGATATCGGACGAAGATATACCCTCGCGAAGGTGGCTGTCGCGCAAATCCCTGAGCATAGCTGAGAGCCATGCGCCGGAGATATTTGCGGACGAGTTCGTAATGCTTTCGCGAAAAATACAGAAACCCCCGGCTGGCAACCCAACCCCTCTCCACCCCCGCACTCGGTTACCCCGGCCGTCCCTGTATCGATTTCTGTCCGATGGAGTATCGCGATACTCGCCCTCTCACCACCCTCTCGCGCTCCTCTCCATCCCCGATCGCCTCTCTTTGTGACTCGTCCTCTTCACTCCCACCCTATTACCCTCTCGCTCGAACCCTTCTCTCGCTGCTTCACCCTGTGTCCGCGTGTATCGCGATTTTCAATACCGTGGCCGCACACGTGAAGCGAAGGTGGACATCCGAGGGCGAGATGGATCATTACTTTTGCGCCCGAGTTCTTCGATACCTTTACTCATTATTTCTTTTAAACCGAGGTCGATATATCAAGATGAAAATTTGGACAAAAATGAGAGAAGAGGGAAACTCGAAAATTTAACACCGATCAAGTAATTTTAATTCTTCCAAATTAGTGTAGTGGAGATTATGGATTTAGTGGGCTTTATCTGGATCGATATCATAAGTAGTGGCTGCCGATTTCAGGCAAATGCGAATTAATCCCCTAATAATCGATACTAGATAGAAATGTTATGCAATAATGAAATGGTAATTCGCGGCGGATAACAATATACGAGATTGAACTAGAATCTAGATGACGTAAAAGTACGTAATAGACGGCATGCAAATGCGTATATACGGGGAGACTTCTCGCACCATTCATTTATCAGTGTATCCGGAATACGAATCACGTTCGCCGCTTGGATGAAATTATTTATATCTCGATATGAAGGCTGCGTTCGGTGAGCCGAGCGGGATGGACAGGTAGCATGGATGACATGTTTCTGATTTTTGTTTTATCGTTGGAAGATACAACGTTATATATATATATATATATATGTATATAACGCATACATGCATCGGCCAACAAGTTCGCTTGGGGTCATCGGTGACTGGCCGAAATTTCATCGTAATGGATCAAATAAATGGTGATGAATAACAGCATGGTTTTGCTCTGGATTGACGTAAAAATGTAATATCTTTTTCCTTTTTTTTTTTTTTTTTAAATAAAAAAAACATATCAAAGGCAACTGTTATTGACGACGGTATATCAAATTGAATATAGAAATAGAATTGAATATTGCAACATTAGAGAGAAATTTTATATAAAAATATGAAGTGAACATATCTTAAAATCTATGTAAAATCTTTCGAGAAATTGGTAATAATGTTGATATTTCCAATTATGTCATATCACATTTCTGACTTTATGTCTCTGTGACTGAATTGCGCAATATACCAGATATTCGTAACAATAACTTTATCGAAAGTTTATTTTATCGGTATATGCGTGAAAATCGTGCCAATGAATATCCCTGGCAAAAACTCTTATATCCATCGTCCAGCTCTAATATTTTTATTTCCATTATCCCTTGAAATTGCTTTTCTCTTTCCTTATCTTTTCTTTTTCTTCATTCCGGTATGTGTACGTTATACCGAGAGCCATCGTTACAAAGCGTTGAGGATTAAATTTATCACGAATCCGAAAATCCGATGAAAAACCGCGGAATTCTTCGCGAACATTATATTAAAACCATTTAAGCGGAGAAAAATTCTCTGTCCCTCTTGCCTATATACACAGATAGTACGTCGCTGATGTTTCTCATATTTATTTATACAAACGCTCCGCCTATCACTGGATGGGAAAATCATCGTGCGCTGTGAGATACAGTCGATTCTCTCCGCTCGAAAAAAGACGAATGGAAAAAAAACGAGGAAAAAAACATGTCAAATGGTTTTTCGACGCATTTGCGCAGTTACTTCGTAAAAGCGGGACCGTGCGGGTTGTATTTTGACCATTCGATTTCGACAAAATCGATTTCGGGGCAGCAACGGTCGCGCCATCGGCCATCGTACCGCATCATCAGTGACGTTGGGATTTTAGCGGGCACGAGAACTGCCGCAGGGCGAGTTGCCAGGGGCGCTAAAATATGCGCTTAATATTTACTCCAGACCGCATGGCGAAACGTATGGCTGTCAAGCATTAACAAATTTCATTATTAAATGCACTGATCGAATGGCGTTTTCATAAGTATTCGCGACGTAATAATGTCATAGGTGCGATCTTATTGTTAGCTCAGAGAGGTAAATGCATCGATCGCAAAGAATCGCTATTTTTGTGTTTAATCTATTGTAAAAAAATTTAATTTTATCTGTTTATATATCATTATTAATTTTACTAATTGTGATTTTAAATCGTATATAAACGCGATTATCAGAAACAGTAATGATAATTAATAATTATGTATTGAATGTTTATGTGTAATTTTCTACTTAGTATTTCAAGCATAAATGTAATAAAACAAAAAAAACAAAATTGTTCAAGTTGTAAAAAAAATGATTATCCATCAATACTTTGGCTTGTCATTTATTGATGCGTCTATTTTACCGCCAGTCATTCGATTTATACGAACCGGTGAGCGAATTACTATTTGATCGTGAAAATCGATACGAGAGATGATGTCATCAATGAGATCGCCACTCAATAGGGTATATGGTGAATGGCGAAACTGACGAGAACTATGGAAATGAAATTTTGACACGTGTAAATATTACCACGAACAGTACCAATACGCATTCTCAATTATTCAACTTGTATATAGAAGGGGAGAAAGAGAGCGCACCATTATTTAAACAAAAATTATGATGAGAATAATTATATGACATTATTATGAATAATTAAATACCGCGACGTAATAATAGTGTTGTAATAACGTAAATAGAATAATGGTATAATATATTACATCGAAATCTTGCCGAACTATATATACAAGTCAAAAATTCATTATTTAAACGAATTATTAATTTAAATTGTCGAAAACTTATTAACTTATTATTGTCGCAATTTCTAATACTATATCCAATATTTGTTTTTAATGAATATGTGTAATTGTTATATATTAATATCTTTAGTATGTTCATTTCGGTCATGTATACCGAGATTGCATTTCAGGTAGCTATTTTATAAAGCTTCGTATCAACTCTGATGTACGCGATGAGGTAAAATCATATTTCTGCTTCGAATATATATCGCGGATATTGACGTGAAAATATGTGTGTGTAATAACGTATTATAATTTGTATGACGATAATTGAAAGCTTTATTTTGCGAAATCACGTTTAAGTTTCGCAAAACAGGAAGAGAAAATATCCGTATTGAGTAAGATATTAAATGTATGAGAAAATTAGCTTCTATATTTGTAAGCTCTTTTGATTCATATTACGAGAGACATCTCGACGTATATCGATTATATCTCCTCTCTCGATATAGGCACCGTATATACGTAGAGGTAATTACTACGAATGGAGCAATGCGCGGTATCTTCTGATACCGATCGATATTTATTCGATTACGATTCGCGCATCGCGCTGAAAACTAATTTCACGCGTGGCATTACTATTACGTTGATTTGATTTCGAT